TAATCAGACCTTTATTTACTTCCTTTGCCTATTGGATTCTAGTATAACAGCAAATTAAATGCTTTTGTGCTTAGTAGGTATCTGTATTCTTCTATTGATGTTTTCCCGATGTCCTTAAGTTTGTATTGTGAATAAGTTGGTTCAGGTGCTGGTATAATGTTTCTCATTCTTCTATAAAGATTCTCAGTTAGTAATATCTGTGAGTTTTTCTGACCTTGGAGAAGAATAGTATGCCCTGTTTTCTAATTTCTTTTGATTGTTTGTAGATGCTGGACTTTAAAACACAGCATTTTCTACCTTGTCTGTGCATATTCGGTTTAAAATGCATTATGAATTGTCCTGGTTCTCAACCAATTTTGATAGCTCAGTTTTGTTTGCTGAAAGTGGGAAAGAAAATGTAAAATATGAAATCAAATAAGACAGAAAAAGTAGAAAAAATGATTTTGTTCTGGGCATTTTAAGAATAGAGGGAAAAAAGGGCTCTTAAAATCTGACGATAAACTTGATGGATGGAAGGCCTAGTTTGGTCAAGGTAAGCTGCCTATGGAAGCATGGATTATGCCTACCATTTAATTCTGACCTAATAGTCTTGTGGTATGATATATTTAGCTAAATTGAGGTGGCATTTATATTTTTTAAAAGAAGAGTTCAGCAGCACCTCTTGTTAATTAACTTTTGTCAGGAAGAGAGAAGCAAGAGCTGCAAACTTGACCGATATGATGAGGGGAGGTAACCCTCACGGTTTTTTTTTTTTTTTTTTTCACTTTTTCCTTTGGATAATATGTAAACCATCAGATAAACAGGGGATTTTGTGATATCTTTTTTTTTTTGGTGGTGCATGGATCAAAAGAAAGAAGTAGAGATTAGGAGAGAGAATCCAGTTGTGACCAAGACCAAGCTAATAGTCATGACTGAGGGAGGGATTATGATCAAAGGAGCAGAGACCGTGACAGGTACAATGATCGAGAATGTGGTAGGGATTATGAGCACCCTTGGACTTATGATTCTAGAAGTCGCACAGGTCACATTCAAGGTCTAAGGAGCATTCCAGGGATTATGATTGTCACAGGTACTTTTTTCTCTTTGTTTATGGTTTTTTAAAGTTCATTTTCACATGGACTTGTGAATGAGTCTCCTGCCATTATTGGTTCATTTTGTAATTCCATATGTGTTTGTTTACATGTCAAATTGATGCATGTTTGGATTATATGTTTGCTTCTTATCATATTCTTCACTCAACTACCTGTAGGTAATTTCATTATTTTCAAAAAGATCTAACTACCTTAGGTAAGTTTTATCAAAGTGGAAATGTGGAATAGAGGGTATAGGTTAGAAAAGTTTTGAATTGCTTGGTGGAATGGTTTTCAAACAGGATTTTGTTAAAGGTAGGGCTGTAAGAAGCCATGCTTCTCACATCAAGTTGAACTCAAAATAATAGTAACCCCAGTTTGTATTTGGTTTCTTTTAGTTAAGTGAGTTGCCTTAAACATTTTAGTGCTTGACCTGAGAATTAGCCATTCCATGCTTGTTTAACAATGCACCATTATATTTGTTTTCTGATGATTTTTTAGCTTGTTGAATTTGTGTTAAGTATGCTATTAGTTTTCTAGTGTAAAATGTGCCAAAGCTGACTTCATGATGAGGTTTTCACCATTGTTTTCAAATTTCATGCTGAACTCTAGCTAATATTTGAGTCTAAGAAAATGACTAGATGATGTTATTAGGTATATTATTAGGTATATTGCTATTCCAGTTGAAAATGACTAAGGTATCTAGTATGACTAAATGAAAATTAATTCAAGGCTGGATGCATGACGGTAGGAGGTTTGAATTGTTGTTTTTTTTTTGCTTCGAGGGCGTTATTGTAAGTTGTTAAGCAATTGAATGAATTTTAAAGAAGTTGAATGGATCTTAGAATTTATTCCCTCCCCTCCAATTTATCTTTTTATCAAAATAAAACCCCTTCACTCCCCAATTTCTTTTATCTTACTGGTATTTGTAGATTGTTCGGTTTGAGGAAAATGGTGGTAAAGGGTGGGAGAAAGGATCTTATTTCAACTTATTAAATTAAGTTGTTATCAAAATAAACTATTAATCCATTTCTTTTAGCCCATTCAAGCTCGTCCTTCTTGTAAAAGACAAACATATGTGAAGCTAAAATGCGAGGAGAATTCTGGACATGGCTTCTAAGTTTTGTAACTGCTTAGAGCTCTCTGTAATTCATTCATTTTTCAGATTCTTATACAAAAGTATCAGTCGACAGATACATAATCAACCAAATACATCAAGATTACATCAGAAAAGTGTAGTTTACCTAACACAGCAATGAGATTGCCATGTTAGATTTACATGAAAAGGAAACTGACAAGTACACCTACTCCGTTACATTTAAACTCAGTATTGCAAAAGAACTAACAAGGATCAAGGAAAAAATTCAGGTTCTTCAGTACCTTTTTTAGATGCCCATTTACAACTTGGTCTCATCCTGGTCCTGTGTCCCGAACTATAAACAGTTTGGAACGCATGATTTGCTATGAAGTAATGTGTGCATGTCAACTGCAACCCCAACAATATCAGCACAATTCCATGTCTTTACTATCTGAGTAAACTGTTGTTTGAACTGGCTATAATGTCCCCTTTTCAGAGACGCTCATGGTCAAGGGAAACCACCTGTTACTCCATCTATGATATAATATAAAGAGTATCAAGCTCGAACAACACCCAAATGCTAACCTCCGATCGGATTCATCAAAAAGGGAAAAATTATAAAAGCCTTGTATGGAGCACTGACACTAGTAATCTCATAATTCTTAATCAAAAGGGTAAATAGATATTTAAAATTATAGTTTGCTTTATGTGTAAAATGAAGAGTTGTTTAACAGAGGGATATAAGAAATCTATAAAACTAAAAAAAAAACAATGATATTTTGAATTAAGCATGCTTCACTTAAAAAAGTATGTTTGATTTAAGAAAAATTGAGTGGAGAGTAGGGAATGAAAATGGAGGATTAAATTCTGTTTAGTATTGTTGTGGTTTTTGATTTTAGTTTTGGTTTCATAATTATTACAACTATTGAAAACTAAAATTTGTTTTCAATTAAAAATTTGTTTAAAACAAATTTTAACACTAACAACTAAAAATATGAACTTGCTTAATAGTAAGTAAAACTATTTTTATTTTTATTTCTCTAATAATCAATAAAATATGTTGCAAAACTCAAAACTAAAATGAGTTTTTTTGTTTAGAGTTGTAAAATATATAAAAAAAAAAAAAAAAAAAAAAAAACAATAACTACAATCATACTCAATAAAGCTTAAATTAACCTTATATTGTCTCCATTTTTGGATGAAAATGAAACTAGAATACTATTTCAAATTTTTTTTTGTGGTACATAGAACCTAGGGACTTGATCTTGTAGCCTTGAGTACAGATAATTCAACCAGCAAATCACATGAGTGATGATGAATACCATTTAAATGTGAATTAAGATGAACAGACATAATTAATTCACAAATCACATCTCTTTTTTGAATAAAGATACACAACAAATTCAATTGCTCTCTTTCACACAATAAAACAAGAACAACAAGAAAAATAAAATGAAATGGTCTCTAGTGGTTTTCACAATTAATTACTTGATAATCATGTTACACATAAATTTTAAAAATTGAAAGATTCTTTTGAATGCCAAAGCAATGTGGGAACTTGGTAACACAAAAATCTAGCTTATTGTGAGTGCACCATTAAAACCTACAAGGAAAAAAAAAAATCTTCATCAATACATATAGATGATAATAAGAGATAAAATATAGATTGCAACATCTATATTCGGCACCATGAGCATTATCCTTTTTAGAATAATGACCAATGCTTTCTTTAAAATATTGATTAGGCACTTTGTAACCGTAACCATAAGAACAACATATATTAATTAATGGTGTAGAAAGCAAGAATGGGCCTAACACATAGATAACAAACGGTTTTATTTATTTTATTTTTCTCTTTCTTAACAAGAAACATTCAAGCAAAAAGAATGAAACTTGGGTTCTCATACATGCGGTGAGAAAGATAGGATTTTTTTTTTTTTTTGGGATAGATGGAAAGATATGATGTGTTTGTAAAGAAAGATTTCTAAGATACTGCCTAAGATGCCAATTATATATAAACACAAGACCATGTTTGTTCACAATGACCACGAATAATACTTAGAGAGAGAAACGTCACCTGAAATCCCAATCTTGTTCATAGCCATGAATTACCATCATTTTCTTTAGCATCATGATCACTGTTCTCTTCATTGCCGTTTTTACAATTGCGAGCACTCTGTAACCATCAAAACAACTTGTTGAAAGGGGAAAGCAAACACTGCAGTAAAATGGTTTATAATTGAAAGTGCTTCTCTTGATTTGCATAGCAAATTAAAAGAAAAGGAGTTCATCAACTTACCATGACCTTGCACTCTAATTCATTAATCATATCTAGATATGTCTTGGACCTTCTCAGTAGAAGTGGACTCTATTTAAATAAAATAAAAATCATAATTAAGGAGATCCTTCCTATAATTTGACATTGTCCTTTAACTAGATGATTAAGGAAAAGGTTAAAGAAAATAACTTAAAATTTTGATTTAAATAAATAAATAAATAAATAAAAACCTGAGGAATTCTTTGGAATCATCATCAATGCATACCTTGAACAACTGTTGTATGGTGCTGTTAAGATTACCCTCCCAACTTCTTTCATCTTCAACTTCTTTCTCTTCTACAGCTTCATCTTCTTCTTCATCTTTATGAAAATGATCAACTATAAGTTTTTCTACATCTAAATCTATACCTTTATCCATATCTTCATTCATATCTCCTTCCAATTTCACTTCATGCAGTTCTGGTGTGCTTAGTTCTCCCTTGGAGAAAATCTGCAAATTTGGACACTCTGTAACAATTATCTCTTCCAAAGCTGTGAATTTAAAGTTGCAATCCCCTGAGCAGAAGCTTTCTAGTCTTGGTAAACCTTTGAGTTGCAAACACTCCAATTCAGTGAAAACAATGCCATCGTTCACAGCATCATCCAAACATACAACAATTTCTTTTATCATCTCACAATTGGCTACTTTCATTCTTTTGAGCTGCCCCAAGCTTTTTGCTGTTGAGTATCTCACTAAATTGACAAGTCCATGACACTCAGATACTACTAGAGTCTGCAAATTGTCGAAATATACAGTGGAGGGAACTAAATTCTTCAATCTGCTACATTCCTGCACTTTTAGAATTTCTAGGTTTCTGAGAATGTCTACTTCAAGTTGGGATTCTTCCTTCC